CAAAATAGGAAGTGTGAGTATTCTATATTCCTTTGTAGATGCAATACACACATTAGCCTAGGATCTGTTGCAAGGAGTCCTTAGAAAATGTATCTCTTTATTCTAACAGTTTGTTTCCTTTATTTACAACAATGTGTTTTGTTGTTGTTTGTCCTCTTAGTGACAAATCATTTCTCACTGAATGTAAAATAGCACCGATCTTAAGACGTACCATTACCGAATTGCCACTAAGCAAGGAAAAAAAGAAAGTATAATTGTAATATATTGTCAATTATGGGACATATCTTGATTTGAGAGGTGTTAACATGTGAGAAACTGTGAAATTTGGAACTGTTGGATAGAATCAGATTTAGTTCTTAGATATGCCGAACTAATTGGGCCTTTCTTCTCTGAGCCAGGCTACGTTGTGATTGTTTACCCTTATTATTTTATTGTAATTACCATAAATGGATATTAGAGGATGCTAAGGCTGTGGTTCAGATAACTCTCTGATCAAGGATGATGTGTGTTCCTTTCCATAATATAGAATTAGTGCTGGGGAGCAGTAGCACCTACCAGTGTGAGTGTGTGTGTGTGTGTGTGTGTGTGTGTGTGTGTGTGAGAGAGAGAGAGAGAGAGAGAGAGGGAGGGAGGGAGGGAGAAAGTTTTGGGTGGTGGGTAGGAGGCCAAGCTTAGGAGATAGAGTCCTCACTGCACATGATCTTGGAATTGGTTCTAGCCAATAACGTGTGAGTAGAGAGAATGCAGGTCACTTCTGAGCAGAGGTTTTTAAGTTCTTGTGTGTCCTCCCATGCTCTCTTCATGTTCCACAGCAAACTTAGAGGCTGCATATTGAATATTGTACCATAACAAAATAAAAGGATCCTGGATCATCCTCGAAACAAACCATTCTTGGAGTACCTCCAATCAGGAATATTCTTGCTGAACATTGCATGGGCAAGAGATAGACTTCTGTTGTTTTAAGTCACTGAAATGTGGAGGTAGATACAGAAATTAGGCTAACCTGATACAGTTTTGTTCTTTCTTTATTTCTTAGGAACTATGTAGTGCCTGGCAAATAATACCAAACACTTCTTCGAAAAGTCTGATGAAGATGGAAATTCATCAACTGACTGAATGATTATGGGTCTTGAGTTGACCTTGCTCTGCAGGGATTAGAAAAATGAGTTGCTTCCCATGCCCCTGGAGGAGTCTCCTGCATTGTGCCCAGGGTGTGATTATTACTGTATGCAGTGGAAATTATGGGACCAGGAGTTTCTCTTTTGTATTTGATACACTGCCTGTCTCCTGGCAGGGACACACAGAACTGAGAGCTCTTTGAATGAGGTCAGTAGATCATAGTGTGTTCATCCCATGGAAAGAAAAAAGCATCTTTACAAGGCACTATCATTAACTCCCTGTACATAGCTAAGAATAATTTTCAAGAAGACTTCTCTAAAATGTGTGTATTCACATCTCATGAAACATAGCCTGGGAGACTGTCTTGAACCACTTCTCTTAGTCCTCACCTTGACCATCATGGGGTTTTCTCTTTAGTGATGGGAAGAAAGGGGATGCACACCACTACACACAGGTTACTCTAGCTGCCTGAGTGCCGTGTTCTAGTAATGGAGTCTTGTTTTGTCTGGCGTGAAACAACACGTGTTTGTTTCTTAGAAGGTGGAGTGTGTGAGTGTGTGTGTCTGTGTATAGTGGGGGTTAGAGGCATAAGGCATGAGGCCTGGGCAATATACAGCATTACAATATTATGAACATGAGGTAACTTTATTTGCATTTTAGAAACATTGCTTTGATTTCAGGATAAGGGATGGATTAGAAGAGTTAAGACATTGGCAGAAATGAGCCTGGTCCCTGAGAGACCCGTTAATAGTGTATTCCACTAATCCAGGCTGAGGGATATATTCAATGGCGATGCTAATAGAAATGAAGACTGACATTTTAGAATTATGTTATAGATCAAATCTCTAGCAAATGGAGGAGTGCTTTAGTTTAAAATGTGGGTTTTATCATTCAGATGTGGGGAGACCAGCAGAGCAAGAGACGACTGCCATTGAAAATGTAGTTGGTGGGGCACCTGGGTGGCTTAGTCGGTTAAGTGTCTGACTTTCGCTTAGGTCATGATCTCGCAGTTCATGGGTTCGAGCCCCGCGTCGGGCTCTGTGCTGACTGCCAGCTCAGAGCCTGGAGCCTGTTTCAGAGTCTGTGACTCCCTCTCTCTCTGACTCTCCCCTGCTCATGCTGTCTCTCTCTCTCTCTCTACTAGAAATAAATAAAACATTAAAAAAAATTAAAAAAAAAAAAGAAAATGTAGTTGGTTACTCACAGTTCCCAAGAGGAGAGCCACACGCCGCACCCACGGAGGGCCACCTGTGGAAGCACCAGCATCCGGCAAGAGACAGAAAGAGCAAGCAGAGGACATGGGCAGGAGGCTTTGCCAGAGTTTCTGAACTGGGAAAGGCAAGAAAAGCATAGGGTCAGCAGGCTTAGACTTGGGTAGTTTAAATAATTTCAGGAAGCTATGGGGTATAGGTGCTTTCTCTAGGTATCTGGTACCTGGCCCTGTGATAATTAAGGAAGAACACTGCCTCCTAGAGGATAAAAGCCAGGCAGAAAAGATGCTTCAAGTATGAGCTTTAGGGGCCCTGGGAGGCTCAGTCAGTTCAGCATCTGACTTCGGCTTAGGTCATAATCTCATCGTGTACGGGTTCGGGTCCTGCATCAGTCTCTGTGCTGACAGCTCAGAGCCTGGAGCTGCTTCAGATTCTTTGTCTCCCTCTCTCTCTCTGACCCTCCCCTGCTCACATTCTGTCTCTCTCTCAAAAATAAATAAACATAAGAAAAAATAAAACAACTATGAGGTTTAGATCTGTTCATTTGTCTATGAAAAGTAAACTCCGGAGCAAATCACTTGCTGTCTCTAAGGACTGGCTAACTCTGGGAGGGACAGTCTATCCTAGTCAGCAATGCTGGGAGGCAGAGCAACAAAAATACAGAAAACAAGAAAGTACAGTTAATGTGCACTTGATGATAAAAATGAGGACGTAAATTTCTCATAAGGGATGACCCACAATTTCTGTCTGGGATGGCTATATGGAAGTGAAATGCTATTTACATTTCAGAGAACTATTGTTTTTTATTGAGCACCTAAGCTGTGCCCGTCACTGCTCTATGATCTTATATAGTCTCAGCTAATCCTCAAAGCAAAGGTTTGACAGTGGGACTATTTTTGGCTTAATTTTATACCTGTGTTGAAGAAGACTACAGGGTCTGTGCTCAGACACCAATGACACGCTCCCTCAGAGCTTGATTTTAGAGGATGTTGAACTTGAGGTGCCTGAAGGACATCTTGGTAGAACCATCTAGGACACAACGCTAGCAACATCCCCATTTCTACCCATGTTCTAATTTAACAGAAACTTGCCTTGCACTTGTTACATCCCAGACACAGCTGTAAGAGCCTAACATGTGCCCACTTATTTAATCCCATGGCAATATTTTGAGGTATTTATTATTATCCCCATTTTACTTATATTTTAATGATCATAAATAGCTACCAATTTATGGAATATGCTGATGAAGCATGTACTAGAATAAACATTTTCTGTAAATTAACGAAAGTTGATCATGTCAGACAAATGTGATTATCACCATTTCAAAGACTAGAAAACTAAGGCTTAGTGGCTTACATCATTGGACTACTGTCACATGGCTGGGCTTTTATGAATTTCATAGATTCGAACTGCCATTCTGATTCAAGCCATTGTCCCATTTTGCAGACCAGAAATTAAGGATCAGTAGTATAAAGTGACTGACAAATGCCACCGGGCTATCCGTAAATCACCCAGCCTCAGTCTGAATTACAGTGTATCCAATTCTTTATTCCAATCTTTCTCCTCAGTAGTGCGGTGCTTTTCACAGTGTTTCACTGGAGCTATGTTTTCAATCAGTTTCACAAATGGGAATTTCTTCACAACATTTCACAAGGGTGGGTGTTGCTATGGGCTGAATGGTAATCCCCTCAAAATCCATGTTGTAGTCCTCCAGTCCCTCAGAATGTGACTGTGTTTTGACAATAGCCAAAACATGGAAAGAGCCTAAGTGTCCATCAACAGACAAATGGATCAAGAAGATGTGGTTTATCTATACCATGGAATACTACATGGCAATGAGAAAGAATGAAATCTGGCCATGTGTAGCAACATGGATGGACCTTGAGGGTGTTATGCTGAGCGAAATAAGTCAGGCAGAGAAGGACAAATATCATATGTTTGCACGTATAGGAGGATTAGGAGGAACTTAACTGAGGACCATGGGGGAGAAGAAGGGGGGAAATGGTGGGGGAAAGGGAGAGAGGCAAACAGTGAGAGACTCTTGAATGCTGAGAACAAACTGAGGACTGATGTGGGGGGGAGATGGGCATGGAGGAGGGCACTTGTGGGGATGAGCACTGGGTGTTATATGGAAACCAACCTGGCAATAAACTATTTGTAAAACAAAAACAAAAACAAAAACAAAAGAATGTGACTGTGTTTTGAGACTGAAGCTTTAAAAAGGTCATTAAGGTAAAATGAAGTCATACAGATGGACCCTAATCCAAAATGACTGGTGTCCTTTTAAGAAGAGGAAATTAGGACACAGACACACACACACTGGGAAGACCAAGTGAAAGCAGCCACCTGTAAGCCAAGGAGAGAGCCTGAAATGACACCTTGATCTCAGACTTCCAGGCTCCAGAACTTCATGAGGAAATAAACATCTGCCCTTAACCTCCCCCACTGCTCCCCCCTGTCCCCTCGCCAGTGTGTGGTAATTTGTCACAGTAGCCTTAGGAAATTATTACACACAGTGAGTTTCCTGAACTAAAAGGAAACTGGAAAGCCACGGTCTGGATTGCCGTGCAGGCTGTTTGACCAGTCTGATCACTTTCCTAAGTTCACTAACCAGGAGGTCAGATGACTTCCCGGGATCAAATTCAGCTTCCTCTTGCTGTTACTTGGACCACTGATCTGCAGACATTTTCTTCTTCTAACTTCCCCTCTTGTGACCAGGGACATAAATATTAGAGAAACAAAAGCCCAGAATGCTAAGGTTGCCACTCTCACTTCCTCTTGCTTCTGTACGCAGCATTGCTTTGAATACAGTCATTGTCCTGGGGCACTGAGCAGGGGAGAGAAGGCGGCAGTGTCCCGGAGGCCACCCCAGCAGGCGGATACAGCGTGTCATGTTTCACCGAGCCATTTGTGGACACAGAAAATGCGAGAATGATGCCTCCTACCCGCCTGGCTGGGACTCTGATTCCAGCCATGGCCTTCCTCTCCTGCCTGAGACCCGAGAGCTGGGACCCTTGTGTGGAGGTATGTGGTTCCTGTCAGCTCATCTGTGAGATCTGCCTTGCTTCTGAGAAACTGCTCTCTGCCCAGAGCTTGCCACTGTGGGGCTCCCGCTAGTTGCCGAGTTTCATTTGTAAAAAGGAGTCAACTTACCTTAAGGACTTGAGAAGGGACAGAGACAAGACAATCCATGGTTACATGGCACCAACAGGTAGCTCATGGGTCATGTCCCATTCAGGACTTTAAATGCTAATAAGGGCTTTAGGTTAGATAGATCTGCTTAAAATCACTGTTCTTTGATTTCTAGGCTGTGTGATCTTGAAGAAGTTATTAAACCTCTCTGACACTAGTTTTCACAACTATAAAAGCATTATAATAATACCTGCTTAAGTAGAGAGCTGCAAGAAGTCTGCTTCATGTCATGTAGTAGTCTGTACTCTCAGCTTCAAGCACTCACTCTGTCCCTTTTAATCTCAGGAGAGAGAAAGAGAGAGAGACAGAGACAGAGACAGAGAGAGAGAGAGAGAGAGTTGTCTCTTAATAGGGAGAACTTTCTAAGTGGATTTCAGACTTCTGGATCTAGCCCTAGTTCCAAAGGATGAAAAGAAATGTGATTGGAAAAGAAAAAGAAAAGGGGAAAGAGAAATAGAGGAAAAGGTGGAAGAAGAGAGACAAAGAGACACTGGGTGGGGGAAGAGAGAACCATGTAAAACTATAGCTAATGCTATCTTTCTTTGTGAAATACCAACTGACTTTTGCATAATCTCATTCGTGGTAGATCTCTTTTGTTCTTCCCCACCCCCTGCATGGACTTTCACAAGTGCTTTGGAAGTCCATGGTAGAACCCAATAGCCAAGAGAATGTCCTGGGATTTAATGTGTGGCAGGGTCAGAAACTCAAGAAATGCATAACCAATGGTGTGCTGATATTGAGGGAATGGGGGAATACCATACTTTAATATGTAACAAAGACAACTTTGTCATTTCAGAATCTTCCCTTCCTCCAATTCCCTGCCCAGAGCCCTACCCCTTGTCTTCTCTGTGTCCCTCCTGTTAGGTTATTGGGGATGGATCCTCCAATCAAAGTCACCGCTAGATAAAATCACACCTTCCCTTTCCCTACATCCTGCATTCTCAGTGCCCAACACCTGTCCAACCCTGCCCATCCCCTAAGTGCCATCCTAGAAGGTCCTCAGTTTTCCTGGACTCGACTCTTAGTAACTGGTCTCCTGCCTCCTAGTCCCCTTTCCAGTCTAATTAACTCTGCACATTTTTGTTTGTTTTTTTTTAAATTTTTTTAATAGTTTATTTATTTTTGAGACAGACAGAGCATGAGTGGGGGAGGGGCAGAGAGAGAGGAAGACACAGAATCCAAAACAGGCTCCAGGCTCTGAGCTGTCAGCACAGAGCCCGATGCGGGGCTCAAACCCATGAACCATGAGATCTGACCTGAGCCAGTCGGACGCTTAACCAACTGAGCCACCCAGGCACCCCTGTTTGTTGTTTATCAGTGCTGCCCAAAGGCGATATCATGTGTGGCATATGATCTTACTGAAATTTAAATAAATGTAACCAACTAAATTTAGCCAAAGTTGTACTTCACTAAATTTTAGCTAACTAAATTTAAAATGCAGATTTAAATTTTCTGATAGTCACTTTGAAAAAATAAAAATTGATACATCTAATTTTAATATTTTATTTAACCCAGTATATTCAAAATATTATCTGAAAATGTAATACGTACTAAACTATTAATAAAGTATTTCACATTCTTTCTTTGGCACAAGGTGTTTGAGATTTGGTATGTATTTTATATTTAATATACCTCTCAGTTTAGACTAAGTTTCTCATGCTCAATATCCCATGTGTGGCTAGTGGCTAACATGCTGGAATGTGCAGTTTTAGTTATCATCATGACTTAATCTTTCACTTCATTCATATATCTGCTAAAATGTCATCTCCTCCTGGAAGCATTCCTTGATCATCTCATATAGAACTCCCTATGCCCCATATTTGCCTCTAATTTTTATGATCCTTCATTTTTTATAGCACATCATTATTTACTTTTTGTGTATTTGTTTATTATTTGTCCTTCCTTTTAAAATGGAATCTGTGAGTGAACAATATCATTGCTGATTTTATTTATTACTATATCCCACCATTCTGTGCAGGTCTTGGTCTATCAATAACCAATGTTGTGGTTGGACTGGCCCTTGTGGTTCTTTATGATTGTAAAGTACCCTTCAGCAATAACCATCTGGAAACTGGAAAAAGTAAAGGTTTATTACTTATAAGACCTAGAAATTATACAACACATGTAGGGCCACACAGCAATACTGAGGGTAGAGTGTAAAAGTGCTCAAGCATGGGGGGTTCTGTTTTTACTGGGGTTCAGGGTGGGGACCTAGGGTTTCCCTGGCTCCCTTCTTAGTGGTGAATTTAAAGTATAAGAACATGAATAACAGGGAGGAGGTAGAGGTGAAAAAATAAGGCTCAGTGGGGGAAAGAGGCCTGGCTCTATCTAGTCACATGGCTGGTGTTGTGTTTTTTAGCCCTCTTTGAGCTGAGGCCTCCCCAATGAAAGCTTAAACCAGATACCTGAGTTGTAAAAAACACCTACTGTCAAAGCTTAGACTACACCCAGCGCCTAGGCCATAGAAGTTGTTCAACTTCTATATTTTAGATGATTCAAAGTACTGCCACAGGGCTCTGGCTTCCCCACTGGATTAGGATTCAATTCTCCCACGATGCACCAGCTGCTCTAAATTAGTTTCCATTAGGGGCGCCTGGGTGGCTCAGTTGGTTAAGCATCCAGCTTCGGCTCAGGTCATGATTTCACAGTTCGTGGGTTTGAGCTGCATTGGGCTCTGTGCTGACTGACAGCTCAGAGCCTGGTACCTGCTTCAGATTCGGTGTCTCCCTCTCTCTCTGACCCTCCCCTGCTCACACTATCTCTCTCTCTCAGAAATAAGCAAAAACATTTAAAAAATAAATAAATTAGTTTCCTTCCTCTTCTTGCTTATATTATTCTTTCCTTTTTTCCCTTTCCACATATACAAGTCGTACTCATTCTTGAAGACTCACCTTGAATTCTTCTGTTTCTCAGAGGCCTTCTATAATCCCTGGATCCAGAATTGATTTCTACCATTTATAAGCCAAAGGAAATATTTTGGAAATGTTTGGGAAAAAACATTTTTACAGGCATGGCTTATGGTCCTTTTCAGTGGTGTGAGTTGTGTTCGTAGCTCAGCTCTTCCTCTAGATTGTAAGCTCACTGAAGTCTGGAGGAGCCCTTTCACATGGGTCTTTATACCATCCGTAGTACTTAGAGAAAATGCCTACAATTTGGATTTAAGCAAATCTTCATTCAATCAGGTATTTATTCATTTATTCAATAAATACTTAGTTAAGTGTTCACCATCTGCCAGGCACAATTCTGAGTGCTGGAGACATAGCAGAGAGCAAGAATATCAAAGCTTACTATCTAGTGAGGGAAATGAACAAGACACATGAACAATCACATAGACAATGTAATGTTAGATGGTGATACACCCTGCGAAGGCAGATGACAGAGTGTAAGGCCACAAGTCTAAACGTCTAAACCAAACTGACTCCATGACAGGCTTTAAGTTTCCCCTCTAAACTAGAAGGCCTGAGTTTCAGCTTACCCGAAACTATCAGGTAGTTACACAGTGCCCAAGGCAGGAGTAACCACCCTTGCAACACCCAATCAAGAAAAGCCAGCGACCACCCTCCACACTGTTAAGGGAGAGGCCTAGAGATAGAAACTATAGATAGGACCCTGTTACCTAATGTTAAAGTTAACCTGTTAGTCGCCGAACAAGACCCTAGGCTCGCTCGGTGATTGGTTGAATTTAAAGGTACTCTAAATGTTGTAATTGGATCCCGCCAAAAGTAACGAATGCTCTAGACAATGTGTATGGTCAAACCCACTGTCAATGATGTTGAATAATTATGATTGGATCACTGTTCCCATGTCACAACTTCTGTAACTCCCCCGTCTCAAACCCCATAAAAACCCTACTCTGCCCTTGTTCGGGGCTCTCAGCACGGACCCATGCGCTGGTGAAGTCTGTGAGCCCGAGCTTAAGCCCATAATAAAGCCCTTTGCCTTTGCATGCGTGACTCGGTCTCCCTGGTGGTCTCTGGTCGGTGAGGATACTGCGATCTGGGTATAACAAGAGCATAAGGGAAGGATGGCTGGTTCCATCACCTATGAGACAGTGTGGCCTGGAAGGCTCCTATGAGGGATAGCATTTCCGGAGACATGTCATTCAATGAAATGAAATGCTGCACATGTAACCTGTAAGACTTTATGCAGATTATTCCATCATTCTGACTTCTTTAAAAAGCTTATTTGAAGATTAAAGTAGATAACATATAAGAAATATGCTCACATATGGTAGGAGATTAATAATAACTAATAATAATAAATGTTAACATATATTGATCATTTACACTATAATAGGCTTTGGGATAATCTCTTTAAATACCTTCTTTCATTTAATCCTTTTAACAGATTCTATTGGTTTTAAACAGAAAACCGAAATTAGCTGGCTTAAGCAAGAAATTTCGTTGAAGAAATCAGAGAATTCAGAAATTAAGTGGGAAGTGGGACAGCAAGGCCTACAAAGAGTTTGGGGAAGTGTGATGGAAACAAGGAAGCATAAAGCACTTGGACGTATTTACATTCCACCACTGGAGTCCAAGCATCTGAAGGATCTTTTCCCCATTTCTGAGTTTCCTACTCACAGGTCAATGAGCCAAAGGAGAGAACGCAATTAGCAAAAATTGAGTTATGACTGTGAAGTCCAGACACCTTAACTGGTGGTCTCCCTAAGGCTGTATACAATTGTGGGGTATTTGGGGGGGAAAAAAGGTTTTGGCCCAAATCTCATGGAAGAACTAGGGTAAAACTCAGGGCTTCTGGACTCCAGAGCCTTAGCCTTTCACCACTTGATTCCATTGCTTCTCCCTAAATGCTGCCATTGTGATAGTAGAGGTAAGAAAATGAAATGTAATAGGTGCTCTCCCCTTCCAAATCCAAATAAGAGATTTTTTAAAGTAAGTGGATAAAGGAATGAATGAGTGAAACGGATGGATAGATAGATGGATGGGTGAAAAAAGGTTGGATCATCCCAGTGCCTGTACTGCTGGTCACCAAGGCTCGCGTCTAGGAGAGGGGAGTGGAGAAGGTATCCCATTAGTCCACTGAGGTGCATGTATTAAGACACTGTATCTAATGTGTGATCATTGCAGGTGGTTCCTAACATTACATACCAATGCGTGGAGCTGCATCTTGACAAAATCCCCGACAACATCCCCACATCAACCAAGAACCTGGACCTGAGCTTTAACCCCCTGAGTCATTTAGGCAGTCATAGCTTCTCCAGCTTCCCAGAACTGCAGGTGCTGGATTTATCCAGGTAATGACTGAGCTTTTACATACTGCACAAGGTGAGATGCTCACTGATCTATCATTTCATTCTTATGTCAGGAGTCTCCTCTTTATTCACTTAGTCATTCAACGGGTATCTTTGTCTAACATTGGGCAAGCCCCTTCCTTTCTCCGGGTTCTCAGTTTCCTCATCTGTGAAATGAGCAGCTGGACAAGACAGTTTCTAAGGACAGCTCTATCTTTTGGTATTAAGACAGGGGAGATAATTGAATCAAACTCCTTCAGATATTTTAGATTACTACTTGCTATATTTTATACAGTCTACTAGGAAACAAAAAAGTTTATTGGCATATTCTGTACAACTCCAGCTACTAAAGAGAGCATACACATTGGAAAGAAGTAACATATTAAAATCCTGAGCATGCTGCAAGGCACATAGTAGGCATTCAATAAATGTTACTTGATTCTGATTTTGGATGTTGAACCTGAGATAAGGATGGCAATACACACCAGTAAGTGATGAGCTATGTGCAAACTAGAAGCAAAATGTTGTGCTATTCAGAAGAAAAGCCTTCTCTGCAGTGGGTAATCAAGACAGATTTCATGAACTGAGTGGGATTCAAAGAATATATAGAATATTGAAAGTGAGATAGAGATAGGGAAATAGGAAGATACAAGTAACCCAAGAAGAAAGATGACAAGATCAAAGGAAAATATGTGCTGTGAGAAAGAACAGTGACTAAGATTTCTCTTTTCTGCTGCAGGGAAATTTAACGTTTATTAGGACAGATGAAATTATTATCATTATTTTGGGGAGAGAATTGAATCCTAACATTATTTTCATCATTAAGGCTTTACTTTAAAATGTACTCAATAATGAATCATATTCCTTATAAGAGTTTGTGGAAAATGCAGAAGCATTTTATATATGGCTTTTTTATTTCAGAAACCTTTAATAAATTCTAAGACCATAGCATGAAAATCTTCTTTAGAGCAGATCTTTCTACAGAAAGAAGAGGGGGCATGTGATGTTTTATACTCTAACTTGGACACTGAAAGAGCATAACAAAGGGGGAATGGAGCATTTTAAAAGGCAGTGAGGTTGAGCAGAGAGCTCTATGGGGCTCAGAAGACCTTAGCCAGATATTGCAGGTGGTTCCTAACATTACATACCAATGCATGGAGCTGCATCTTGACAAAATCCCCAACAACATCCCCACATCAACCAAGAACCTGGACCTGAGCTTTAACCCCGAGTCATTTAGGCAGTCATAGCTTCTCCAGCTTCCCAGAACTGGGAATATATTTTTAATATATATATTAAAAACCTTATAAAGTAGACTTTATAAGGACAAGCATATTATTATTATAGCACTTTGTTAGTTTTTGAATTTTAGTTTTCTGAGTAAGACTTTTTCAAGAACTGTCATTAAGATAAACAGATCAGCCCTCCTCTTTTTTAAAGCAAGAAGTAGTTTTTCATCAGACAATGTGTTTTATAAGGAATACTTAAGGAACTTTCTCAGAGGCTTTAACTATGTGCCTCGAAAGAGGCCAGCTCTCTCTCTTGATTATGGTTTAAGTCAAGGACAGAAAGTATTGTAGATATCCATTCCCTTCTCATATTCCTTCACAGTGTTCACATATAGTGATTCAACTACTCCTCTAGGATGGTTTCTAATAGATCTGACACCCTATTATTCTTATGGAAACCTATTGATACATTTATTTTCTTTTTTGAATGAAGAAACTGAGGTGCAGAGAGTTAAAGTAATTTATCTATATTTACTCTCTATGTTTTGTAGAGCTTTCCGGCAGCAGAGATTCATAGTCACATCTCCTGCTTCCACGTTAACTGTTCTCTTCATCTTAATATTCTGTTTCTGTAAAGTGATGACCCCCCTTTGATGAGACTGAGAAACAGCAAGACCACTCCAGTCATGTCTGATGCACAGAGCAGTATACATAAGTTTATGGGTTACAACATTCTATAATGTAAGCAATTTGAGAAATAATCAAGTTTAGCTGCCTCATTTAGAAAGGTGATAACGGAGGTCCAGGGAGAAAGTTTCCAAGATCATGTGATATGAGAGAGAGGACAACAGAGACACCAGAACCAAGATGTCTTGTCCCCTTTTCCAGTGTTCTTTCTATAGCATCTACCACCTTCTATTAAGTTACCAATTAATAACAAAAGCTTGGGCCAAAATGCTTTTATTACCCATGACCCACATGGAGGGGATAGGACAAGTGGAGAAATTGTAAATGTAATGCATGTTGGACTAGGAAATAACTCACTTGCAAACCGTAACTGTAATCCACTTGTAGGGCTGGCAGGTGTTTATCATTCATTGGCTGGATAAGAACCTTGTCTCTAGGGCATATCTATGAACATTGTATGTAGCATGGCTTCCATTCTTCTTGGGACAAAATTCAAAGTCCTTTATCCAGTCTTTAAGCCTGTGCTCCGTACCCTCCTTTCTCCACAAGCTTGTCTCACACACCCCCACTTCCCTTTCTGTACTCCAGACACAAAAGCAGTTTCTCACGTTTACTCCACGTATCATGGCCATTGCCTACCTCAGAATCACCTCCTTTTCCTGGTAATCCTTACTCATCTTTCAGGTTTCAAGTTAAGTGCTCTCAGAGAAGCCTGCTTTGCCCCCCCCCCCCCAACACACACACACCTTGTCTAGGTCCATTCCTTTCATATAAGCTTTCATAGTAGACTTTCTTTTTCTTCCATACAACTCAGTCCCATCACCTGTTACTAACATTTACCTGTGATAAGTACAACTTTCAAATATCTAGCTATCATACATGGAGAGCTCTGCATAGACATGGAAGGTATTTGTAACACAAATGTGTAATTTTTTATATCTTTAAAATTGACATTGACTGGTTATTTAGCATGTCTAACAACTAACAGCTATCTGTATCATCTGTGCCAATCTGATGGACAACCACAAATACGTGCAGCAGGAAACAGCTAAAGTTAATCCAAGGCGGTCACATACTCTATCAGCTGGACAGTCTTCATGTGCTCCAGTTATTGATCTTTAACTGACTTCTTTCTGATGGATGTGCTGCCTCTGCTTAGCATGGATGCCTAGTGTGATAAAAGAGTTTGTCATTGTGTCTGGTGTGATAATACTATGTCTGTGGGGTTTCTTATTTGCTCATGTCATGATCTATCCTGCTTCATGTCTTTGTCTATGGCATATATTATATGGCATGTCACATCTGTGTGAAGAGCTAGGTGACTGGGGTGGTCACCCCATTTTGAGTTTTGATTCAGCAGAAATACTATATAATCTGTATCTCTTTTCCCTGTAGGTGTGAAATTCAGATAATTGAAGATGATGCATATCAGGGCCTAAGCCACCTCTCCATCTTGATATTGACAGGAAATCCTATCCAGAGGTTATTCCCGGGAGCTTTTTATGGACTGTCAAGTTTACAGACACTGGTGGCTGTGGAGACAAACGTAGCATCTCTAGAGGACTTCCCCATTGGACATCTCAAAACTCTGAAGGAGCTTAATGTGGCTCACAATCTTATCCATTCCTTCAAATTACCTGAATATTTTTCTAACATGCCCAACCTGGAATACGTGGATCTCTCCAATAACAAGATCCAAAATATTTATCATAAAGACTTACAGGTTCTACGTCAAATACCTCTACTCAAACTTTCTTTAGACTTGTCCCTAAACCCTTTAAACTTTATCCAACCAGGTGCCTTTAAAGAAATTAAGCTCCGTGAACTGACTTTGAGAAGTAATTTTAATAGTGCGGATGTAATGAAGGCTTGCATTCAAGGTCTGGCAGGTTTACAGATCCATCAGTTGGTTCTGGGAGAATTTAAAAATGAAAGGAACTTGAAAACATTTGACAAATCTATCCTGGAGGGACTGTGCGATTTGATCATAGAAAAATTCCGGATAGCATATTTTGACAAGTTCTCAGAGGATGCTCCTGACTTATTTAATTGTTTGGCAAATGTTTCTACAATTTCTCTGGTGCATCTGGGTTTAAACAAGCTAAGACATCTCCCTACAAATCTCAGATGGCAACGGTTAGAATTGGTTAACTGTGGATTTGAACAATTTCCCACGTGGAACCTTGACTCACTCAAGGAGCTTGTTTTCTCTGCCAACAAAGGTGTGAGCACTTTTACTGAGGTGAAGTTGGAAAGCCTTGAGTTTCTAGATCTCAGTAGAAATGGCTTTAGTTTCAAAAGTTGCTGTTCTCAGGCCGATTTGGGGACAACCAGACTGAAGCATTTAGATCTGAGCTTCAATGATGTTATTACCATGAGTTCAAACTTCTTGGGCTTAGAACAGTTAGAATATCTAGATTTCCAACATTCCAATTTGAAACAGGTCAGTGATTTTTCAGTATTCTTATCACTCAAAAACCTACGTTACCTTGATATTTCTTACACTCACACTCGAGTTGCCTTCCACGGCATCTTCAATGGCTTGGGCAGCCTCCAAATCTTGAAAATGGCTGGCAATTCGTTCCAGAACAACTTCCTTCCAAATATTTTCGTGGACCTGACTAACCTGGTCATTCTAGACCTCTCTGATTGTCAGCTGGAACAAGTGTCCCAGGCGGCATTCAACTCACTCCCTAAACTTCAGTCGCTAAATATGAGTCACAACCACCTCTTGTCATTGGATACACTTCCTTATGAACCTCTCCACTCCCTCCAGACTCTGGATTGCAGTTATAATCGTATAGTGGCCTCTAAGGGGCAAGAATTACAGCATTTCCCAAGTAATCTATCTTCCTTTAATCTTACTTGGAATGACTTTGCTTGTGTTTGTGAACACCAGAGTTTCCTGCAGTGGGTCAAGGACCAGAGGCAGCTCTTGGTGGAAGTTGAACAGATGGTGTGTGCAAAACCTTTAGACATGCAGGGCATGCCCATACTGAATTTTAGGAATGCTACCTGTCAGGCGAGCAAGACTATCATTACGGTGTCAGTTCTCACTGTACTCTTCGTTTCTCTGGTGGCCGTTCTGGTGTATAAGTTCTACTTCCACCTGACGCTTCTTGCTGGCTGCAAAAAGTATGGTGGAGGTGAAAGCACCTATGACGCCTTTGTTATCTACTCAAGCCAGGATGAAGACTGGGTGAGGAATGAATTGGTAAAGAACCTGGAGGAGGGAGTGCCCCCTTTCCAGCTCTGCCTTCACTATAGAGACTTTATTCCTGGCGTGGCCATCGCCGCCAACATCATCCAGGAAGGTTTCCATAAAAGCCGGAAGGTTATTGTCGTGGTGTCCCACCACTTTATCCAGAGTCGATGGTGCATCTTTGAGTATGAGATTGCCCAGACCTGGCAGTTTCTGAGCAGCCATGCCGGCATCATCTTCATCGTCCTGCAGAAGTTGGAGAAGTCCCTGCTGCGGCAGCAGGTGGAGCTGTATCGCCTTCTCAACAGGAACACCTACCTGGAGTGGGATGACAGCGTCCTGGGGCGACACATCTTCTGGAGACGACTCAGAAAAGCCTTGCTGGATGGTAAACCATGGAGTCCAGAAGGAACGACAGATGCAGAAAACAGCTAGCATGAAAGAGTAACCTCTGCCTGAGGAGGAAAAGCTGCTGCAGTGCTTCTTGTCCAGCTGGACTGGGTACTTTGCGCAGTTAATGAGTATTAAATACTGCCACATACCTGGTACCTGGTGTTGTGCTAAGGGCAGATGATTCAGTGGTGCCTGAGGTACACGGGGCTGGTGACATCATGGAATTTAGAGCGCAGGGGGAATAAACACTGTGCTAAATTACAGAACTTCCAGGTGGATGTTTCAAACAAATGAGTTAAGGAGTCCATGGTAGGGAAAGTCAACTCAACTGTTACCCCATCAAACTGAACTAGAACTAAGAGACTGGGCCCTAGTGAAATCAGAAAAAGGTATAGTTCTTCACCTGAGTCTTCTGAATGGAAACTACCTCATGGTTTACATTTTAGCTATCTTAAAGCTAACTGAACGAGGTCTTCACTTCTTTTCCCTTTTCTATTGAATGCAATTTAAATTCGACTTGATAACTCAGAAGCCTCCTGATTCAGACCATTCCCCACCCATTTAAGTCTGTTTCCTTACATAGGCTAAAGTCTATAACTAATTCTGAAGGAAATCTGATTAACACATATCCACAAACACCCTTGTCTTTCTTTCATATGTTCTATATACATTAACTCTATGTGCCTGATATATTTTTGTTTTTATAAATCCAGTTCTCATTTTTCATGTCTTTTCTATAAACTCTTGCCATAAATAAGGCTTTTGGAGCCATGCTAGAAATTTCCATATTTAAGCAGTATCGTTCAAGCAAATATGTAAAATACACTCCATCACTCTGTCAGTTGATGTCACTCTAAAGTTATTACCTACTAAATTATGACTGTCAAGAAGGACGGATTAAAATGATTTGGTTTAAAGTGGCACTTTTTGTAAGAGCGAGGGACACATCCAAATTCCCGGTTTTATAATGAGCAACTCAGGCTAAGGGCAGGCCAAGAAATGGGATGACCCCAGGAGGTCATGTTTTGATGGTCCTACAAACATGGCTGATACAGTTAGGGTGACCACATGACAAAAGCTGCAGCAGCCTCTTCCACAGCGGATGAGTGTGGTCTGAGAGAACACTGACTTCTTCACTGATTGTGAAATAGTTTAAGGTGGGGAGCGTACATTGCTGCTTCCTGTTGGGTATCTCTCTGTGAACACATTAGGGAAAGAACAGATGTTATGATTAAGCAAATAATGTCACTGAGGGTAAAGTGGGTCATATTGAGGGGAATTCTTAGAAGGGTACACACCTATCTTCCCAAGAATGATACATTCAAAGGAAGAACAGTGAAGAAGCTCGGAAAATGTGGTTGTCAAAACTGAAAGCATGGCCACACCCAAGAGTGTGTTTATGACTGAGTGCTTCAGAGTGTATTTTGATTGGAACATAGTGGGAGTTGTTACACACACGTGGGTGTGCTTATAGGTCTTACGTGGTAGTGAAAGTGGACTGTGGATCTATGTATTTGTGCACATGCCTTTAAATATTACTGTCCATGTCTGTGTGGATGCAAGAATGTGTGTGTGTGTGTCTGTCTATGTGATTACACCTGCATGGAACAGTGTGATCATATTGCAAGGGGAATAGGCGTTTGATGTGGAGGTCTATAGCTGTTTTTTAAATTATTTGTATTATTTTTAATGTCTATTTATTTATCTTGAGACAGAGAGCAAGTGGGAGAAGACCAGAGAGAGAATCTCAAGCAGGTTCCGTGCTGTCAGTGCATAGCTGGATGTGGGTCTCCATCTCACAAACTGTGAGATCATGAACTGAGCTGATATCAAGATCAGACGCTTAACTGACTAAGCCATTTCAGGTGTTCCGACAGCTGTTATGAGATAGGTTCTCTACTCTTGTGTTTGTATGTGATTGCTTATATACAAATGTCTACATTAGATTCTGAGTATGCCTGAAGGTGTGTGTTTTTGTGTGTGTGTGTCCAGGCTATAGTGCACATGTGTGTTAGTTCAAACAAATATATAAGACTCCAAGGGGAAAATCAAAATGCAACTGGGGTGTTTCTTGTATACAGGCTGATGCTAGCCTTCTTCCCATCAGGCCCTCTCCCAGATGGGAATTCTGAAAATTGCAGATGAGGTAGACAAGAAAGGAAAGAAATGATAAGATGGAAACATAAGGATAGGAAAGAGGAAAATCAGGCCTAGGGCAGATTCTTTACAGCCATTTAAGTCCTCTGGATTAACAAGACATGAATAGACATAAAGTAATACTAATTGGAATGCCTTAAATTTGTGTAATACCCTACAACTTGGAATATAGTCACACAATTAGGACCACATATGAATTTCTTATGATTGAGGTGAGGTAGCATCTCATTTTACTGACATGAAAACTGAAGTTCAGGGAAGTAAATTTATTGTCAACAGGCCACAGTATAAATGAATGGCAGGGCCTGGACTTGGGCCTCCAGCCACCTAGGGCAGCTCACTTTCCACTACACCCCACTGTTTCACGCTTCAAGTTGGTAAAAGAAGAAGTGAAACCCCTGTAGTTCTCTGTGTGGTTGACACTAGTCAAAAGTTTTTCACTGAAACCATGAATCTTTAGGCAAATACATATGCATATACATATTATATATCAAATGATTTATTTATAGCACATTTCTTTCCATAAAGGATGTGAGGGAGATTCAAACGGACAATAAGCTCAACTGATTAGAACCAGAAAACCTGGGCAAAGAATGAAAAGGGGAAAGGAAGACACTAAGAGTAAGCTTTAGCATCCTGTTTTCTCATTAAAACTCTGGAGAGAACCCCACACCCCACTCCACCCCACTCTGGTGTTTTGGGTAGCGTGGCTTCTGGAAAAAGCCAAAACTCAGATTCACCATGTCTCATGTATGCTTTGGGCTTCACTTTTATGAGAATCTAGCTAATTCAAATACAAAATGAGGGTAGAATATTACTCTGTAAACTGTCATAAGTATTAAAAATAATTCCACATATAAGGGATACTACTTTTATGGAGGAGTGATCCTCTGGGACTTTATAAAGGATGAACAGAGAGAAATACTGAGCGTTCTTCTCAAAAACGTTTTAGCCATTGCTGTCTTCCCAAACTGTGGGACTACAGGAAGACTGTAACTGTAATCAGGCAGTTTCTTTCTGACTTGGCCTCCACCCACAGGACTCTCAGAACCCTAGCCTCCTTTTGGGCTTTATCACCTTTCTAGAAATCACCAGCAGGTCTTTGGAGGGTCTTACATAAACACAGTTCTCACAAAAATGACTGACTGCTCTATGAGGGCAGAGAGCATGTCCATTCATCCTTTGCTGCTCCAGCCCTGAGGTTAATGGCCTGCACATAGCAGACAGAACAACATCTATTTGAAGAATTAATGAGTGAATGAAGAAACATCTCTAGAGGGGATGTTGTCCTTTGTGCCTCCCAGTCAAGGCCCCCAGGTCCCAGACCACAGTCCTCTGCTACCTATGTAGTATCTGGGGCTCTGGCTTTCCACAGCTATTTCTTGTCTCCATTGTTGTCTGCATAGATGTTCTCAAGTACTTCCTCCACTAAGCTCCTTAACTCCAAGTATTCCAAAAGTTACTTTGCAGAAGAGAGGAAGAGTACTTATAATAGTTACCCATAGTGGCTATTTTTAGGTCCTACTTTACTGCTTTATGTATGATATATAATTTAAATTCCCATACCATGACTATGAGATGGATTCTAGTAATATCAGCATTATTACACATTAGGAAACAAAGCCAAAGTCGCATAGCTAGTAAATGCACAGCTTGGATTTAAACCCAGTCTCCCTGATATTTAAAGTCAACTATGCTAGATGGTTTCTCTAATCTCTTCCTTCTATTTCTTATAGAGATTTTAGTACCACTGTTCTTTATTTTTGTTTTCTCTTTGTTATGGCCAGCACTCAGATCTGAGATACGAAGGTGAAACCAAAGGTGGGGTGTTGGACCAAAGGTTAAGCTGTGTAAGAGACATCAGGCTGTCCATGAAGTCAACCATTTCCTCCCACAATGATGGACTAAGCCCTTCTCACTTCAACACTCTTTTCCAATAGAGCACATTCTTTTCCATGAGGCTCCCAGGACTTTCAAGCAAATAGGCCCATCTAAAAGGCCTTCCAGATGGTTCCAGCTAATTCTGTATTTTTAGCAATTACCTACCACCCTGTACTCAGTGATCCTTTCTGCCACATGGCTTTATATATACCCATTCCTTTCAGTTAATGGCATTGGAAAGCAACTTGTTATGGAGCTGATATAGTCTGAGTTCATCAACTTCAGCAATGCACAGGATTTAAGCTGAACAGTCTGGAGGAGGAGCAACATATCATGAATCTTGCATTGGGTTTCCTATGGTCCTGTTATTCTCCCTTCCTTTAGCTTACACAAACAAGAGGACCCCAAAAGCTCAGAGTCTAAGAGTGTAAATTTCAGCCTACCACCTAAAACACCAATAGTCTATTTTGCTGACTGAAGACAAATATAGATGCTTTGAAAATCAGAAGTAGCTGGAAAGTCTGACTTTTACTTTCTTCTCATGGAACATTCTAGCTGTTGTTACTAAATATAGGAGGTACGGATAAAAAAAATCTACATGGACCTGTTTATGGAGCTGCTAGCCCAGTAGATGTGTCTATTGTACTTGGGTTCAGATCCTGATTCTGCCACACTTTCACAGTATATATATATATATATTTTTTTTTAATTTTTAAATTTATTTTTTTATTTTTAAATTTTTATTTTTTTTTTAATGTTTATTTATTTTTGAGACAAGAGAGACAGAGCATGAGCAGGGTGGGGGCAGACAGAGAGGGAGACAGAATCGGAAGCAGGTTCCAGGCTCTGAGCTGTTAGTACAGAGTCCAATGAGGGGCTTGAATTCACAAGCTATGAGATCGTGACCCAAGCTGAAGTTGGACGCTTAACCAACTGAGCCACCCAGGTGCCCCTATTTTTTCATTTTTAAAATATTTATTTATTTTTGAGAGCGAGAGCGAGTGAGCATGAACAGAGGAGAGGTGGAGAGAGAGAGAGAGAGAGAGGGAGATACGGCTCCAAAGCAGGCTATCAGCACAGAGCCTGACTAACCAACTGAGCCACCCAAGCACCCCTCACAGTGTAATTTTGAACCAGTTTCTTATGTTAATTCTAGTTCCTTTTCTTGAATAGCAAGGGAAACTAAGCTCCTATGACACAGGGCTACTATGAAGATAAAATAGAGAGTGAAAAGAAGATACAGCACAACCTTAAATTTACCTGCTTAAAGGGTCCACTTGAAAAATAGGAAATATCCCAAGCTTCACATGATGCTGACATAGAAACCTGGAATCCTGAAGGTCTCTAAGGCAGGAGTCTTACTCAAGCAATTGAATCTCAGGGAGGGAGAGTGGAAAGAGAAGACAGGAAGAGTCTAGCTCTGAAACACACTGAATTACCAGCCGCTGCTGCTAGAATTTACAAAGGGGCAAAAGCCATACTCTGTTTATTTTTAATGGAGCAGAATCCTGGTGCAGCGGACAGTGAACTACGTGGGAGGGTGGAAAGTGAGATCTGGTCTAGGCTCTCCATTTACTTGTTATATGATTGCAGGGAAACC